TTGTGGTTGTCTTTTCCCACTGGGACATAATTTTGCTTGTTTTTTAACAAAATGAGGTAATTTCATTACATTAATATATTTAAAAGAAATAGAAATGTTTAGAAACCGGCTGAAAAAGCGTATAATATTCTTACATCAAGCTAGATTTAGACTAGTTCCTCAGATTTTTCGAATTTTTGTATAATTCAGTGTTTGAGATGTAAACAGAGTCATTCAGAGTGGTTTGGAGTGAAATGGTTCAGATGTCTTTATAGTGGTGGTGATAGGAACCAGGGGTCGCCATGACTACAACACAAATATAGACATTTTATTTACTATCCAAAACCACCAGTGAACCTACACGAGTCTTCTGAGTTTATATGGAATGTTGATGATAGTAAAATAGTGATAAAACAACGCTTTTTCTTTGGGGACTATTTTGCCTCACAACACCCTGCATGTATCCCCCCACCATGAATGTATTCATAAATTATGTTTTAATGAGACCCAAACCTTCTCAAAACTATCATAAAACAGTGTCTCAGACATCATGCAGTGTATTTATAACCATTTCATGTAGTAACTTTCTGTGAAGGAGCTTTTGGAGGTGGACGTCTGGTTCAAATAGTGAAATAGTGGTAAATCAAATAAGTTTTGTAACTATTCATCATGAATGGGTTTTAAACATACGTCCAAAGAAGCATGAGTTGTAAAGTTCTTAGAGAACCAAATGTATCACTTTTTGGCAAGTTTATTTTAAAAAATCTATGTAAGCTGCTACTTGGTACAAAAAACAAGACGTCTTTCTAATGTTTTTAATGTTTTTAACTATTTTATTATGCTGAAATTTAGGTGGAATTCCCCCTAAAGAAGATCCCTTTCACCAACATATCATTTCACACGGTGATAATACAATACAGAATTGACCCAGTCATACAGTACTCTGTAATCATTTAACCTAAACTGACCAAATTAAACCATAAAGCTGGTGAATCACATGATCAGACGTTGAGTTATGAAATGAAACTTTCGAAACTTGTTTATCACGTCAGTGTGAGCTCAGCCTAGACAACATGGAGGAAAATAGTTCTGCACAAGTGATGCAAACAGTGGAAAATGCAGAATGACCACCATTAACCTTTCTCCACTCTCTAATGGCTCTGAAGTCATTAAGTTATACACAGGTAAACAAGGACCGGCTGCCAATTAACCTGTAGAGCCCTCTCACAAGACTGCGGCTCTAAAGGAGCGGTTCACACGCTATTGTTCCAAAGGGCATAACCATAACTCCACTGACAAATAGGCCATATTTTATTATTAATTTAGTCTAGATTTGATCTAACATCCCATAATGTAAGGTGAGGAAACACTGAGAAGATTTCATTGATTTTGGTTCTAGCTACACCCTTGAAAAAAATGGTTCTTCAAGGGTTCTTTAGTAAAGAAAATCGTTCTATATAGAACCATAAACAATCAACGAACGCTTTGTATGATTAAACGGTTCTTTGCATTGTGAAATGGTTCTTCAGACTGATGTAGAATGTGGTGTATATGGTTCTATATAGAACCATTTTGAAAAGGGTTCTATACAGCACCAAAAAGGGTTCTTCTATTGTTACAAGCTTGGCAACATCGAAATATTAGAAGAACCCTCTTAAAAAAGATGGTTCTTCAAGGGTATCTTTAGTAAAGAAAATGGTTCTATATAGAACCATCTACAGCACATTCTCCATCAATCTGAAGAACACTTTCACCATGCAAAGAACCCTTTTATACACACTTGAAAAAGATGGTTCTTCAAGGGTTCGTTAGTAAAGAAAATGGTTCTATATTGAACCATAAACAATCAACGAATGCTTTGTATGATTAAAGGGTTCTTTGCATCATGAAATGGTTCTTCAGATTGATGGAGAATGCGCTGTTTATTATATATTCTATATAGAACCATTTTGAAAAGAGTTCTATACAGCACCAGAAAGGGTTCTTCTATTGTTACAAGCTTGACAACATCGAAATAATAGAAGAACCCTCTTTAAAAAAGATGGTTCTTCAAGGGTATCTTTAGTAAAGAAAAGGTTCTACATAGAACCATCTACAGCACATTCTCCATCAATCTGAAGAACGCTTTCACCATGCAAAGAACCCTTTTATCACGCAAAGGGTTCTTTGAGTGTTCATGGTTCTATATTGAACCATTTTCTTTACTAAAGAACCCTTGAAGAACCATCTTTTTTAAGAGTGTAGAGTAGCCGGATTACTACAGCTGCACTATCTATGACTTCTCAGTCACGTCCTTAACAACGCGTCCTTGTCACATTTTGTGCTTGTTTATCGGGGTAGCAATAAAATAAAATACACTTAAAATATATACAGTTGTACGCAAAGATTTGAGCAAAGGTTTTGTAGGTTTTCCATGTGAAAATAGCTCAAGTTTGAAAAAAAAGGAAACATAAAAGACAAAGTGTGCCAGATCTTTTGCATAGGCCACAATTATTTTTTTCTAAATATTCAAATATTCAGCAAATAAATGATAACTATGCATTAAAATGTGCAGAGTGTGGCCTCTGTAGAGGACAACACAACTGTATAAAAAAACAATACTTATTCTTAAACACGAGCACATGCTGGAGCACCTCTGCACGTCCATATAACTAATGCTAAGACTGGCTTTACATGGTGAAACTTGCATGCAACATTTGTGGCAAATTGCACTCGAGTTGCATAATAATGTAAAGCATTCTGAAACTCTGTCGCAACAGCTGCAGGCATCTCAACTTTGTGAAACAAGTTTCACAAAACAGCCAATCAAAAAACTGCAGTAATGCATTATGTAATCACAACAAGCTACATGCTTTCAAACCACTGATTTTACTGAAGTGCACAAGGAAAGAAAGCAGAAGGTGGCTTATTAGGTGGAGAGGAACCCCAATAATGACTGGGGAAAATATACTAAAAAAATTGTAAAAATGCTGCAAATATGCAAATGATGTAAATATGTACATTACACCACACGGTTGACTTAACAGTGAGAACGATGTGGTGTACTTAAAAATGTGAACCTCTACTTTGGCTAACAAGTGGAGTCATCAAATGTTTGGCCTGCAACTTTGTTTTTTAAATTGCTTCTGTCAAGTTGCACGGAAATTATGTTGCAGGCACCTCACAAGATGCAATTAGTTGCATTTAAGTTTCAGCCTCAAGGCTCCTAAGAAACACCATACGTAAAAACCTGTTATGTTAACTTACCATGGCAAGTTTCAGGTTCCATAATGTAGTTTTATTTAAGATAGAATTATTAACTGGATATTTTTTTTTTATAAAAATGTAATTTAAAAAGATATAAAATGATTTATTTGTATTTTTTACTGATTCTACAGGCATGACAAGCACAGTGTGCACAAGCCACTGTGTTAAAGTTCATGTTCTTTGTCAGAAAGTCAAAATCAGCGGAGCTCCAAGGTCAAACCTCAGTACTCCTTTTTGATGACCCACACTCTCCACCTGCCTTTCAGAGCATTGCATAACATGTTTTTCCTCCCACAGTGATGGAAAATGCCGCATGCAGGAGGCTGGAGCTGCATGTATGTCTGCACAAACTACTGTACGTGCTACTGTACATGTTCTGTAGATAATGTTTGTGCATTTTAACACGGCTGCATGCACTTCTAGGCAAAACCTTTCATGTTATATGGAAACGTATCAGAATATTTGCATGAACTTCACATCAACTGTTCACTACTTAAGTGACTAATTGTCACTACCAAAACAGTCACTACTGAAACATTTGGTAAGTTTTGGTAGTGTTATGATTGTTTTGGTAGTGATAAAATGGAGTGTTCAATCATTTGTTTTAATAAATTAGTATAATTAAGATATCACTCAAAGTCAAGTGAGTTAAAAGTCCCAAATGCGTTTTGATCTTTGACTTTGAACCAGTTCAGTAGAATGATCCAAATAATGTATTATTTTGGGCTGTGTCTGAAACTATGGCCTATTCACTGTACAGTGCACTGTTTGGGCTGTGTCTGAAACTATGGCCTATTCACTGTGTAGTGCACTGTTTGGGCTGTGTCTGAAAACATGGCCTATTCACTGTGTAGTGCACTGTTTGGGCTGTGTCTAAAACAATGGCCTATTCACTGTACAGTGCACTGTTTGGGCTGTGTCTGAAACAATGGCCTATTCACTGTATAGTGCACTGTTTGGGCTGTGTCTGAAACCATGGCCTATTCACTGTGTAGTGCACTGTTTGGGCTGTGTCTGAAAACATGGCCTATTCACTGTGTAGTGCACTATTTGGGCTGTGTCTGAAACCATGGCCTATTCACTGTACAGTGCACTATTATGGGCTATGCCTGAAATTATGGCATATTCACTATGTAGGCCTATTCACTATATAGTACACTGTTTGGGCTGTGTATGAAACTGGCCTATTCACTGTACAGTGCACTATTTTGGGTTGTGTCTGAAACTATAGGACCATTTCTGTTACCTATAATACAGTGAATTATACAGTATCTGTTAAGCATTTATCTTTCAGTATTATGAATTATTCAGCAACCACTATGAATTGTTTAATAACTATTATGAATTATTTAGTGTCTAATTTGAATTATTCAGTAAATACCATGATTTATCCAGCAACTACTTTAAATTGTTCAGTACCTTTTATGAAATATCCAGAGGCTTCTATGAATTTTTCGCTAAGTACTATGAAACTGCATGTCATCGCTGTCCAAAAAAAGAAGAAAAAGACCTTACGTAACTTTTAAGGTAAGTTAATATAAAGATTTTTTTTTTCCGTAATGTTGGAGCATTTCTGTTCATGCATTACATTTTCATTCAATGCAAAGAACAGCTGCAGCGGTCAAACGATGTAGAAAAATAAAAAAAATGTAGAAACGTGTTTTTTTATTTTTTGGACAGCAACAATATGTAAGTTAAAAGAGTGAAGAACCACATAAAGACAGGTAAAGTTTAAGGTGTTAAACTGTGTACAAGCAAATGAACACATACTTCAGTGCATTAAAACAAAGGCAGTTTATTATGGCACAGGTATTGATGTATGGAATGAATGAAGTAACCAGACCCCTTCATCAAACCAGTAAAACATTCAGTACCAGACAAAGCCACACCAAATTTTATATTCAAGTGAGTGAGTGTTGGTGGACCTCTATTCCCCAGGCACAGTGCGCCCTCTGCTGGATGATTTATGTAGTGATTGTTGGTAAAGCTCTTAATCTTCTTCCACCCAGACAAATCAAGTTACAGGTTAGCACTTCAAGCTTATTCATTATATTACTACAGAAAAATACATGTTGCCAAAGATTGTCTGCAGGCTTCAAAAACAATTTGAACCACACATTAAATTACAGCTCCCTGATGTAATGTCCTCTTTTCAAGGTTTTAAGTGGCCGAACACTGCCAGATCAGCAAAAATCAGCCATAGAGATTGTGTTAGATGTCTCGTGCTGTATATGTCATGTAACTGGACTGCACTTAGTATCAATAAAATAGCAGCAATGTCATAGCAGCACTGGGTTTTGGCAGCCATAAAGCTAAAGGCAGCATTCAGTGTTCAGGTCCTGAAACGTGTTTACTAAACAGTACAGCAGCAAGAGCAGCTCATCGCTCAGTTCAGCTCACAAACACGTCCTGTGTTAGAGATCAGGAAAAAATAAAATGTTCTCTAAGAGGTTTTCAGTAGGTGGCTTCATCCATATTGTCATCACTATCTCCTCCGAAGTCTTCACCGTTGTCAAAGTAAGACATGATGTAGTCTGTCTCCTGAAACACACAGTGCAGCAGTTTTATTGGGAAAGAGGCATTTAAAATTGATAAGAAAGTGTATTAGAGTCAGATATGAGCATGTCTGCTTGAAGAAAAGCAGCACATTTCCATGAATGCTCCATTAGAGAAAATAAGCTAGGTCCACACAGCAGACATCCAAGCTGAGTACTATTATAAATGTATCTCGAATCGTGAGAGTTCTTAAGCAGTTTCATGCAATACGCCATACTGTGCCAGTAACAAAAGAATGCTGTGTTTTCTATTATGTTATCTTAGTGATACACCGAAGTATGTAGCCATTCAGACTCATAAATCATATCAGAATCATAAAGGTGTCCCACAGGGCTCGGTTTTAGGTCCACTTCTCTTTACCACACACATGCTGCCACGTGGCTCTATAATATGTCGTCATGGCCTAAATCTTCACTGTTATGCAGACTCACTCGTCAAGACCAACCAAGCTAGTCTCGACTTCAGCCGTGCTTTAAAGGTGGGAAGCTAACAGTGTCATATTTCTGCAGCAGGTAAAAAAAGAAGCCAACAAGTCTCTCCAAACGTACCTCCTCAAATTCTTCTTCGTCATATTCTTCCCCTACTTCAGACTCTCCCTCTTCCTCTCCTGTTTTCTTCTTTTTCTCTTCATCTTCTTCATTCTCAGAATGGTGCTCCTCCTCCTTCTTTTCCAGGGTCTGTTAAATTAAGATTTCCAAATGATACCGATGACAAATTTTCATTTCATAAAGCTTCAAGTCATTAGGGTAACTGTGTCTTTGCAGTGTATATACTATAATAATATTAACAGTAATAATAAGAGATACAAGTACAAAAAGAAGTATCATCATTTTTGGACAAAAAGAGGTCCAGCATCAGAAGACCAGGGCAGGGCAATAGGGGTGCAGGAGCTTTGCTAAATAAGGGGGTGTTAGACTGTGTAGAGATTTGTATGCATGCAGGAGGAGTTTAAATTGGATATGTAATGGGACAGACAGCCAGTGTAACTGAGATTGAACTAAAATTATTTTTTAGAAGGAGAGAGAATTCTAGCAGCTCTGAAATTTACAGATACTGGAGACAGCAGAGTGTTTCGTCAGGAATACCAATGAAAAGAGAGTTGCTGTAGTCTAGACGATACAAAGGCCTGGACCAGTTTCTGCATCTTTCATGGTTACATGGGGTGAAGACGTGCAATATTACAGAACTGGTTTTGACCAGTGCCCTAATGTGGGGTTCAAAAGAACGTGGGGTTCAAAAAAAGTACACCTTGGTTACAAACTACAGAAGAGCAGTCACACTGTTGAAACTGAATGATACTATGAATTTAGACCGAGTAAAACTTCAGTTTTGTCAGGGTTTTATTTCAAAACATTTGTTTCTAGGATCTTGAATAGAGGATATTAGATCAGGGCTTAGAATACTACACAGATATTAGGACAGCAGGTGAGGATATTGAATAGAAGATGTTAGGGTGGGGGGGCAGGGTACTGGTAGCTGTCGCGCTCACATAGATCTGAGTATGACCGTGGGGCAACATGTAGACAATGAAAAGGAGAGGGCTGAGGACTGATCCCTGGGGAACCCCTTGGCTGGGATACATGTTTGAGCCCCAGCTGTGCTATTTTCAGCCCAAAGCTTCTATACTGAATTACACACTTTACACAATTACACACTTAACTATAATATAGATACAGAGATCAGAGAAATGATATTTTACCTCTAGTTTTTGGATGAGTTCTTCTTTACAGGCAGGAGGTTTTATTTTAGGCCTCACTATTGGCCTGGCCTCTGCAGACGGATCAACACAAACAAAAATCACAAAATTATGATGAGCTACATGTACAGTTCTACCAACTCTTTATATATGTTATGATATAACTGGACAGTTTGAGCTCAACAGTTTACATTGCTTTAATAAAGCAGTTATCTACTCACTTCCTTTGCGTGGCTTCTGCACCTTGATGCATAACTCTTTAGGCAGTCGACTCCAATCTGAAAGAAATACAGACAAATAACTGTTTACATATTCTTTTTATACACTGCTTAAAAATATCTGCCTAAAGTAAAGTCAGTAACACTTTCTATGAATGTCACGTTTGTAAGCATCTATAAACACATTCATAACATGTTATAATGCATTCATAAGACATTATAAACATAGCTATAAATATTTATAAAAATGCATTATACGTTATAGCCATGCTTATTATGCATTATGAATTGTTAACATAATACATTATAAGTACTGATCATAACAAATTATAAGAGCTCATAAGTCGTATTTGTCCGCTCTAAGTAAAGTGAAGCGTACTGTACTAAAGCCTCCTCCAGCGTTCAGAGTGAGGCTTCAAGTTGAAGTATTTACTGAAGGATTTACTGAAACACTACAACATTCACAGTAAAGCACATTACAGGCTTCAAATGTCAGAGTTTAAACTAGAGCTGCATCAGTGTTTTACCCAATGTGGGAAAGGTAATGTTCACCACCGTTAGCTTGGTATTTGTCTTTACTTTACGCTCTCCAAGCTGGGACTGACTTCTTTGGCACTGACATTATAACATGTTATTAACACTATGTATAATGCATTATATTAACAATTCATAATGTATAATAAACATGGCTATAAAGTGTAATTCAGTGTAATTATTTTTCATAAATATTTATAACCATGTTTATAATGACTTATGAATACATTATAACATGTTATAAATGTGTTTCTAGATGCTTACAAATGTGACATTCATAGAAAGTGTTACCGTAAAGTCATCTAATCACCAGCCGCTTCCATAATTATTACTGCTATTGTCCTTACAGTGACTCACCTGGGCTCCATTCTATGCTGTTGTTCTTTGGTTCTCCTGTTTGGTATTTATCAGAGTAACGGTCCACATCTGCAACAAACAATCAAGTCAAGTTATACTTCTCTGTAAAAGACATTTAAACCAATCAGTGTTAAAATTATACTGAACAAACATATAAATGCAACACATTTTACTTAAAAGATTTCATTGAAACCCCACAGAAAACTGGGTGGGGCATCAAACAGAATTCCCACAAGTGTCTGGTGTGACCTGCATTTTACAGCAGCATAAATGTGCTTTCTGGATTTTTTAAATCCAACTTTAAAATTTCATATTTTTTCAGTACTAAATTAATACAGGACTCCAGACTTTTTAATTTTCAGAGAAGAAACAGAACAAAACAGTCCAATCAAAACAAGTATATTTGTTGTATTGTATATTTATATAATAAGCAAGCGTGCACTGGGTGAGTTTATTAATACTCAAAACAATCCAGTACCATGATATATTTGGATTTTATCAACACCACCCAGCGCCACAGCGAGAGTGAAGAACTGAAATCTGGACCCTTTGAGTTAACAACCATCTGGTGATCGTTAAGAAAAGGAATTCAAGCATTTAAATGCAAACGCACAGCCGTCCAGTCAACGAAGAGAGACAGTCCGCCCCTCAGTGTGTTCAGCACCACAATAGAAACGACTGCAGAAAAGGCCTTTAGGCAGAACTGCTCACTCGTCATCAAGAACAACAGCTCAGATTTACATACGACTGTTAGCACCTCTCAGCACTGCTCCTCACCTTTCTTTGATCTGGCTGTGCGGATGTAGAACGGCAGGTTCTTGCTGGAGGCTCTGAGTTCTTGTTTAAGAGCCAGCATGTAGTCCACCTCCTCGCCCGTGTGCAGCGGAACCGGCCTGAACTGCATCGGCTGAGAATAAAGACATTACAGCTCAGATGCTGAGACATGCAGACGTGAGCCACAGCTGGACAAAGAGCACTGTTACCACTGGTCAGAAGTCTGGAGGTCCTCATTATGTCACTGCCAGTAGTTGTTTTATATGCATTAATCACTCAGAGAGTTTCAGTCCAAAATGCTGCAGATTCATTTGTAACAATGCTGAATGTAATACGTTTTGGAAAAGCACAGCAGTTGATGTTAATGGAGAACACATTTTAATTCCACTAATAAAGGTGATATTAATCATAATATAACAGCAAGTGTGTTTACATGATCAGATTTCTGCAGTTATCTGATTATTCAGATGGTCATGTGAACAGCACACTCTGATTTCTTAGATCAGAGTAAGGTCTAGAAATCTGATTAAGAAATGCAATAAAGAGGCTGAATTTTAGCTCATTTTCTCAGTGCATGTAAACTCTTACTCTGATTTCTTTCGGATTTCTCAGTCTGAGCATGTGCGAAAACAGACGGTGGTGCTGGAAATAAGTGAGCAGCGTCGCCGCGAAACGCAGAAAAACACTTTTGGAGCCACGCTGAACCCAAATACATGCTTGATGAAATGAAGGATTTGAATATTCTTCATCTTCTAGATGATGTATGTTCATATTTTCAGGTGTTTTCAAGTGTTTAAAATAAAAAAAAAAAAGTAGAGATATGAAGTTTTATGTTTACGTCATGTCTTCTTCTGTGAGTTTATTGGCTGGTTTTAAAGCAGAAATCCGATTACTGTCTTTCCCATTATCTGATTATTCAAGTGCATGTAAACGCGTTGATCGGATTACTGACAAAATCTGATTTTTTGCAGTTATCGGATTATTAAGTGCCTGTAAACACACTCAGTGATATTTTTTGTATGTGTAAGGCCCACTAGCAACAACGTATATCATGAAAAAAAAAGAGCATTTTCGAAAGTGGGATATAATGTGTTTTGAAACTAAACCCTTCACTTCACAATTCAGATTTAAATATTATAAACTGGACCAAAAAATATATTTTTAGATGTTTTATTCAGTACTCATATTAATTATATTAATCTCCAAAATATTCCAGTATATTATGCCAAGTACTCTGGGAACATCAAGAGATTACTGAATGGTAGATTATAGTAAATATTATAATCGCCTTGTATTTAATATCTAGCATTTAGTTATCTGCCTGGGGGCATTCTGGATATTAATTTTACCAGAACTTAATTATGGAGATCAATTTATTACCACGCAATTGATATTAATTTTGTAATGTCCTACAGCTTTCAGTCATTAAAGAACCACCTACATATAAAAATGAAAAAAATGCTGCAGATAAATATTAATAGTATTTCTACGCTGTATAAGCTGTGAGAAGTGATTCCAGACTTTTGAATGGTGGTGTATCTGCAACCGAACTGGCTTTATATTATTGAAAAGAGTGATTCTGGTGTAGTTCCAGTGTGATGTGCTGGTCAAATGTGTCCATACAGGGTAGAGTGGTGAGGGGGCATGGGCACTGGCGGGTAAAGCTTCTCCTCTTCCAAAACCCAGAGAGTCCACGTTAAAGGTAAAGAGGCTTCGTCCTCGGCCTCTACCTGCCATGACGTCTGCAGGAGAAACCAAACCCAGAGAACAAATATTAAAAATATCAGTACATTTTCAGGCACACTTTGAAAGCAGGACAACAGACCTGATTACAAGCCTGTATGTATGTATGTATAATATGTAAGGATGTTGCTATTACACTTTAATTACAACCCTATTTTTACTATTACACTTCCACAGCAGGATAAAAGACAACTCTATTAACCCCTGAAAATCCCAGGCTTATTACACACTAAGGCTTATTATTCATTAACTACAGGGCCCTTAATGTAGACTGACTGAGCTATTCTTAGCTTACAGAAGTGTGTAATAAAACTTTGTGCCCGCCGGTGGGTGCTGGCCAATTTAGGGGTTAAATCAAACCAGTTTTGACCATAAATCACAAACATGCTGATATCGAGGGATTGAATATTTACTATCTGACTGTCAGGGGTCTCAGGGTCTCGGACCACTAGGCCCAAGGTGGCCCAGATACTTAAGACAGTCCACTGCAGATGTAAACAATAGATGAAGAAACAGCTGTTGACGTTATCTGTTCTCAAGCCCATTAAATTGTATATTATTATTATATAGGATTTGCTTGTTGCCATTCAATAGAGATGGCTTGAAAGAAAATGAGAAGAAAACAGGACAGACTGTTCCAGTGTGCACTCCCATGCAAAAAATGGGCCAAGCCCAAAATATAATGGTTTTTGCTGACAGTTCTGGCTAATCAGAGTCCAGATTTAAACCCTATAGAGTATATTTGGTCTCACATTAAACACAAAGTAGCCTGGCAATGCTTTTTAGCTGTTCAAAGCCGTCCATGCTGAGTGGATCAATACTGACTCTTCTTTCTGTAAAAGGCCCTCAGCAACTTTAGTCACTCCAGCACAGTCAGACCGTAATAAAGCTAAGTTTTCAAATTTAGAGCGTTGCTTAAGAGGTATATATAATTTTTGTTAATGCAATACTGAGTTTGGAGACCTCTTATAACATATCGCTGCTGTCGGAACAAAACTTTGTATCTCCAAAATGGTAACTTTACAGGAGAAGCAAAAAACATACTTTACTTTTAATGGAAGTCAATGGAACCAGAACTTTTTCCAAGTCATTTTGGGTCATTTCTTTTGGTCCATTCATCATGAAATTTACATACAATGTAAAGGACAACAGGTATTTTTAAATCATGTCAAAAACTGGAAAACAACAAAAATGGAGATACAAGGTTTTGTTCTAAAAGTAGCTCAATGATATAATATAATATAATATAATATAATATAATATAACCCTTATATAAAGTAGTTAACAATATGTTTCTATGTTGTTATTACAACTATCAAACATAAACATGCTAATAAGTAATATGCCAGATTTTTGGCATCTTAATTACAGATATTTTTAAACAAAGCATATCAGAATGTAAAACACCAACATACAAGTGACCTCAGAACAAGACCACAGCACAAACACATGTTAGCAGCGAAACTGTTTCCTTCTTCACCTTCTTACCTTTGACCGGTTTGGTCTCTCAGCCTTTAGAACAAACTCTAGTTCAGCTTCTTCATCTTCTGTGCGAAAATCTGAATATTTGTAATATTTTATCGGATCATCTCCACTATTAGTCTTTATAAGCGCTTAAACACGCGCGCACATCTCCCTAAACACTCACTGGAAAACTTAGAGTGCAGCTGGATCTTCTCCACCACGTGAGTCCGTGTTTACTTCACACGTGTGTCGCTGCTCTGTCTCACTTCCTGCCGGTATGTGCTGCGCCATTATTCGCCCCCCTGCCAATCCTGCACCTCTAGGACCCTTTTAGCAACTGTGCCTTGCCTGATTAAAATCATAGTGTAAACCAGGCATTTGTAGTAAAATTAGGTCCAAGTACAATACAGATCATTTTTAATTTATATTAACATCAAATATATTTACGAGGAAAGTGCTACTAATTTTCTATCTACTATTTCCTCAGTTACCTTAAAGCCGTTAACTTTTCTGCTAGGAAAAAAAAACTGCAGACAAGCACGCATTTCGTGCTGGTCTGAGCTGGTTTAGTTGGTCACCCATTATAGTCATGTGGATATACGAGCATTCAAAGCACAAATTATGCTGGATTAGGCTGGTTGGGTGCCGATTGGTCACCCATTATGGTCCTGCAGACTGACCAGCATACCAGCATCCAAAACACAACATGAACTGGTCTGTGCTGGTTTTTGCTGGTCTGGTGCTGGTTTAGTTGGTCACCCATTATGTTCATGTGGAAAGACCAGCATCCAAAACACAATATATGCTGGTTTATGCCGGTCTGGTGCTGGTTGGTCACCCATTATGGTCATGTAGAGTGACCAGCATACAAGCACCCAAAGCACAACATATGTTGGTCTATGCAGGTTTATGCTGGTCTGGTGCTGGTTTAGCTGGTCACCCAATATGGTCATGTGGATGTACCAGCATCCAAAAGACAGCAAATGCTGGTCTGAGCTGGTTTGTGCTGGTCTGGTGCTGGTTTAGTTGGTCACCCATTACGGTCATGTGGAAAGACCAGCATCCAAGGTCCAACATATGCTGGTTTATGCTGGTCTGGTGCTGATTGGTCACCCATTATGGTCCTGCAGACTGACCAGCATACCAACATCCAAAACACAACATAAACTGGTCTGTGCTGGTTTATGTTGGTCAGGTTTAGTTGGTCGTCCATTATGATCATGTGGAAAGACCAGCATCCAAAACACAGCATATGCTGGTTTATGCCGGTTTGGCGCTGGTTGGTCACCCATTATGGTGATGTAGACTGACCAGCATACCAGCACCCAAAGCTCAACATATGCTGGTTTATGCTGGTCTGGTGCTGGTTTAGTTGGTCATCCATTATGGTCATGCAGACTGGCCAGCATACCAGCATCAAAGATCCAACATATGCTGGTCTGTGGTGTTTTTCCTAGCAGAGTTTTAGTCTAATTGCTTTTTGGGGGCATTATTTCATTCTGTAGTGTTGGTTTAGCTCCCAGACTGCTTTACTGTCACTCACTCCTCTTATTTTAGACCATTACAGGTCCAAAAAGAGACAAACAGAGCCGAACAAACTTTGGTTAGCAATATGCTAATCTCAATTTCATTGTAGCCAAAAACTATTGTTTTTTGGTAGCTACTTCTACTCCTACTTCAGCTCCCTGCTAGAAAAGCCAGCATAGACCAGCCTGGTCAACAGCAAAGCCAGCATATGTCATGTTTTGGATGCTGGCATGCTGGTCAACCATCAATAACCATGCAGGGTGACCAGCTAAACCAGAACTATTATATTATACCAACCTATAAGGATAGTTTTAAATGTAATGCTTTTCCACATGTGCATCATTTTTAGAAAAATTATATATATTATATATAATCATTATATATTTTACTTTGGTTGAACAGGTTCTTAGTACATTTCATGACGTATTATAGTTAAGAAAACATATTTTAATTCTAATATGTAACTTATTTCACTGCTGCAGTTTTAATTGTGTGTGAGTGTATTTTAGTTCAGGCACATTCGTGTCTGTCCAAATGCCTGGTTGCTCCGCCCACCGCCGTTGACTGACAGGGCTGCTCATCCGCTTCAGCCATTCAGATCGCAGCATTAAAACAGACGGTTGCAGGATTTGCAGGAGTGCGAATTATAGCGCAGCACACCGGAAATACCACGAACATGATGAGTTTCTATTCAATACAGAGTCTATAAAGCATTAATATAATATAATATAATATAATATAATATAATACAAAATAATGCAATATAATATAATATAATATAATATAATATAATATAATACAAAATAATGCTGACGAGTGGAATAGTTGGCGGTTGCTATTACAGTGTTATAACGTCTATTTTCACCATTCATCATCATCATTATCATCATCATCATCATCATCATAATAATAATAATAATAATAATAATAATAATAATAATAATAATTAAGAGCACTTTTCATACTGTGGCTCACTGTGCTGTACAGACAGGTGATAGTCAAGTAGTGCCCCATGGTTCTTTAAGGGTTCTTTAGTAAAGGCAATGGTTCTGTTTAGAACTATAAGTTGTATACAGAACCATTTCATGCTTAAATGTTTCTTCGCATGGTGAAATGGTCCTTCAGATTGAAGGAGAATGTGTTGTATATGGTTCTATATTCCATGAAATGGTTCTGTATACAACTTATAGTTCTAAATAGAACCATAATCACAATAGCAGAACCCTTTCTAGTTACATAGAACCATATAAACACATTCTGCATCAATCTGAAGAACAATGTCACCATGCAGAGAACCATTTAAGCAGGAAATGGTTCTGTATAGAACTCTTGGTTCTAGACAGAACCACTGCCTTTACTAAAGAACCCTTGAATAACCATCTGTTTTAAGGTTATACAGGTGGCGTAATGGAGTCTTTTATCTCTGTTATTTATGGAGACTATAGTGATGGTAGATGAGGACTGTATAAACCCTGCTGAAAAAGGACCATTAGACACCATTAGGATTAAAACCTAATGGTTTTGCTTACTGATGGGAATTGGCTTAATGGTAACCTATAGAGACCACTGGTTTCCTGTAAAACATCTGTAGATCCCATTAGGAAACCATCAAATGCATTTAGAATCAGCCATTGGTCACCTGTTAAACCATTAGGATCCTTTACATGGTGATATCAACCCATAAGAGAAGCCAAAGCACATTACAAAACCATCAGGAACCAGCAGAAACACTAATATCTGTTACTGTGGCAACAAGAGTGACACATAAGCAAAACATGCTAATAACATGTAATAACACTTATATACAGTAACCAACAATCACATCAACCGCGCACATGGACTGTCATCCTCCCGTTTGACCAGCAGGTGGCGGGACTGTGCTGTTTTTGATTGATGGAGACTGCAGTGATTTAGACTGAACCAGAACTCTCTACAGTCTGGCTGTAAGAGGTTAATCACAGATGCACTGACCGCAGGTGACCCGAGCTGAGTCAAATGTCAGAGAACGTGACTAATTTGACCTGTTTATGCTGATGTTTTCCAGGAGCCACACATTGCGCTTATATTAGTTATAGCTGTGTAATGTTGGTCCATTGTGTGCTTGACTGGACAAGTTATTGAGGTGTAATCTTCTGAAATAGCTCCAAACAACATGCACAACACATGAAAAGTACATGACAATAAATTGTGTTTACATTTTTGGAATATACAGGCAACATAAAACACTATATTTAGTATATTTATATGATTTTGGAATATCCTGACAAAATAAAACACTATATTTAGTATATTTAATATGATTTTGGAATATCCTGACAAAATAAAACACTATATTTAGTATATTTAATATGATTTTGGAATATCCTGACAAAATAAAACACTATATTTAGTATATTTAATATGATTTTGGAATATCCTGACAAAATAAAACACTGTATTTAGTATATTTATATTATATTGGAACATCCTGACAAAATAAAACACTATATTTAGTATATTTAATATGATTTTGGAATATCCTGACAAAATAAAACACTATATTTAGTATATTTAATATGATTTTGGAATATCCTGACAAAATAAAACACTATATTTAGTATATTTAATATGATTTTGGAATATCCTGACAAAATAAAACACTGTATTTAGTATATTTATATTATATTGGAACATCCTGACAAAATAAAACACTATATTTAGTATATTTAATATGATTTTGGAATATCCTGACAAAATAAAACACTATATTTAGTATATTTAATATGATTTTGGAATATCCTGACAAAATAAAACACTATATTTAGTATATCTAATATGATTTTGGAATATCCTGACAAAATAAAACACTATATTTAGTATATTTAATATGATTTTGGAATATCCTGACAAAATAAAACACTGTATTTAGTATATTTATATTATATTGGAACATCCTGACAAAATAAAACACTATATTTAGTATATTTAATATGATTTTGGAATATCCTGACAAAATAAAACACTATATTTAGTATATTTAATATGATTTTGGAATATCCTGACAAAATAAAACACTGTATTTAGTATATTTATATTATATTGGAACATCCTGACAAAATAAAACACTATATTTAGTATATTTAATATGATTTTGGAATATCCTGACAAAATAAAACACTATATTTAGTATATTTAATATGATTTTGGAATATCCTGACAAAATAAAACACTATATTTAGTATATCTAATATGATTTTGGAATATCCTGACAAAATAAAACACTGTATTTAGTATATTTATATTATATTGGAACATCCTGACAAAATAAAACACTATATTTAGTATATTTAATATGATTTTGGAATATCCTGACAAAATAAAACACTATATTTAGTATATCTAATATGATTTTGGAATATCCTGACAAAATAAAACACTGTATTTCATCTTCTCAGCCAAAAATACAGTTTGTGGTATCTCAGCGCATATTTAGGTCAGGAATATAATTAGAATTAGGCTAAATGTGTGCAGATCACATCAGACAATAACAACATCTGTAACAACAACAGGAGTTTATGATCAGTGATGCTCATTGCTTTTAAACTGTACCTGGCCTCTCGTTTAAATGTTTATAAATGAAGGTGTAAATACAGTCAGTGCACTTCTATTACAACTCTATTACACCATTAATCCTAAAAACAATATGATAAGATGTATTAAGCACGGCATACAGTAAT